TATACGAATAAATGTCTGTTAATACAAAATATGCTGTCTTTAAGTTGTAAATTACCTCAATTGTCACCAAAATATACTTTGATTTACGTTAGCACACAGTATCAACCGTAATTCTTAGATTGACTTTCTATGACCGCCATTCTTAGAGCGCAGGGCCACTGTGTGTCGTTCCGAAGCTACGTCATTTTCTACGCGCTACAGCCGCCTTCGTAGAGTCGCTACGACGCGAAGGCCGATAGATGAAAACCTTTGCTACGACACAGTTTTATCAGTGCAATATAAGAATAATAAAATCCAATAAAATACCGCGTGGGATTCGAAAATAAATAGAGGATGAATATGTAACATAGAATTGATGTTAAACATTATTTGTGTAAAACATAAAGTGACTAAATAAAGAATTTTTCATAATTTTTAAACCAGGAAATAACGTGACCAAAATTTCAATGTATATACTTAAGTATGTCAACATAATATATGAAGGTATAATATATAGGTAAGAGCCGTGGTAGCTCAGATGGTTAGCGCTCGCTGTAAATTTCACAGTACGCGAGCAACCAGGGTTCGATCCCCGTCGGCACCAATGAAACTGTTAATTGCAATTTTAAGTGCTGATTTACCATGTGCTCAGTGGTGAAGGAATACGTCATAAGGAAACCTGCATGTCTGAGAAATAAGAAAAAAATCGAAGACATGTGAAGTTCGCCAACACGCATTGGGGCAGCGTAGCTGACACTTCCTTGCACTAAAACCCTCTCAAAAATGAGGAGAGGCCTATGCCTGAGCCCAGCGGTGAGACGTATATAGGCTGTAGCTTTAAAGGTACATTTCCGTAGCCAACCGCAGACAGCAGCAGCAGGCGACGTGTCGTCGCGACACTACTGGTTTCTATGTAGTTCTATGAAATACCTTCCGTAGCTAGCGACACGTCGTTTGCCGGAGCGGCAGACTGAAAGTAATGCCGCCAACGCCCGAGCGACACGTTGAATTTTGCTCAAAAAATGAGTTGCACCGATTCCGTGGAAGAGAAACTGATAAACCAGGTGGCCCAATATCCCACACTGTACGATGCATCTCACAATTATTATTTAAACAGTGTTACAAAAGATAATATTTGAAAAATATAGGAAAGTTAAATAAAATCGGTAAATACGTACATATATAGATAGTACATACCTATTTTGTTTACATAAATAGAGTACCCACAAAACATTCGGAACAGATTGGAACACGGGCTGCTGCCCCGACATAACGCGACGACATGTCGCAGCGACATGTCGCGACGACACGTCGCCTGCTGCTGCTGCCTGCGGTCGACTACGGAATTGTACCTTTACTTTATATTAAGGTAGAACCCAAATATTTTAATCAAAATGAATTATGCAACATATATTTATTCAAAGTGATTATTTATTTGGCCACTGCGCTGGTTCAAATCTAATCCTTAACCTGGAAAATCAACAAGAAAGCTAGAGGAATCATATATATATATATATATATATATATATATATATATATATATATATATATATATATATAATTTTAGAAACAGCTTAAGGACGATCACCTTATTCTCAGAGGCTATCAATTACAATAATATCATTATAATCAATCATTAATATTATTATAATTTATATTTTTTTAACTTTAAACTTCATAAGTATTAAGGTTAAAATAAAGTAGATTAAAATATTCTATTAATATGATTTTTATATTTCAGCATTTAATTCTTTCAAATTGTTCATTTCAGAATAATTTTTTTAAGACATATTTAAATGAAAATGAGTCCCAAACAGGTTATACTCGTAAGTATCAGGTAAGACAGTATTAGATGGATTTCAGTTGCCCTCTGCTACCTATTACGACACCCACGGGACGATATGAGTTTGTGGATATTCTTTTACCGTCACTGTTTTTATATTTATTAAAAATAAAAATAAAAATATGCAATATTTATTATGATTATTTGGAGAGAATACTTACTTCAATAAAAATACTTTTACGGATTTTATCACGTTTAATTAACTTATTTTTATTAAGCTACAGACGTTCCGGTACTGAGGTGATTGACGTCCCGATGTCACCTCAGTCCCTCGTGATCTCATAGGTGCTGTAAATCACCCGAAACGTCGGGAATTTAATAAAAATAAGTTAGTTAAACGCGATAGCATCCGTAAAAGTTGTTTCGTTCAAAGTGCAGTGTTCGCGTAAATATAACAAATCATTAAGAAAACTAAATATCACACAGTCATACTCAAGAACTCTAGTTGCGGTTCCTCGCTGAATGGCTATGCTTAGCCTTACAGATATACATATTTAAAAAATTTCAGACATGCGGGTGTCATCGTGACGATAGATTTGATTGGCGAAAATGTGGAAAGTGTGTATATGTATATACGTGGTAGAGCCATGCTGCAGCTATATTAATTGTATAGTTGTAGCACGAATGGGTCGACTTTACCCGGAAAAGACCACGCTCTCAGAGAATACCAGCGCAAAACAGCAGCTTAATCCTGCTGTGTTTCGTATTGTGAGTGTAGAGAACCGGAGACCCTTTATGCTGTAAAAAAGTTATTCCATCTTAGTCCTCCCGGCTGACATTTCGATTCGCAGAGGATAGATGTAGATGTCTATGGGCCACAACAACCACTTACTAATTACTCGCTAGTCATAGTCCCATATAAAAAAAATATTTTTTATACATCTCACACGGCATAGGTCATTTTTGAAAATGATTAAGGAAAAGAAAGTGACCGCCGCACTGCCTTAAAGCGTATTAAAATTTTACATGACTTTGAAATACTTTTTATTTTTCAGCCATACAGTTTTCTTCACGATTTTTTCTCTCTCTTTCTCTCTCTGGCGAGCAAGATGTCGACGGGTATTGAACCCGGGTGGCTCGCAAACAGTGAAATTTGCGCTTATATACCTACTATTTATATAAGACAATTTTTCAAATAGTAGTACTTTACGTGGTAGAGCCATGCTGCAGCTATATTAGAAGTATAGTTGTAGTACGAATGGGTCGGCTCGCCCGGGGAAGGACCACGCTCTCACAGAAAACCAGCGTAAAATAGCAGCTTAACGCTGCTGTGTTTCGTATGGTAAGTGTAGAGAACCGGAGACCCTTTTTACTGGCAAAGAGGCATTCCATCTTAGTCCTCACGGGTGACAACGCATCTGCATCTTGAGTCTTTATTGAGGATAGATGTAGATGTCTATGGGCTACAGCAACCACTTACCATCAGGTGGACTGTGTGCTCGTTTGTCACCCTATACTATAAAAACAAAAAAACAAAAAACTTCATCAGCATTTTTATTCCGCTACCAAAATTTAATTTTTTAAGAACACTTCATTGGCAAAGATTTCTACAAAGATTTAACCCTTACTCATCCGGTAATTTAGTAAGCGAAGAGCAACAGAAAAATTATAATACAACAAACAATAACGGTAACTTGCATAATTAAGCAAACCATTAATAGTTTTTATCGTGTTTTATTGTATTTCACTATTCAATTTCCACAATATAGTGTTAAATAAAAATAAAAACAACAAAAATGTAAAAACAACCAAAGTAACCTTGCATAATTTTATATTTTTGTTGTTTTTTTCCTTTTTTGTTGTTTGTATCTTTTCAAAAAGTTTGTTTTAAAAAAAATTAAAAACAATTTTGTTATCAAAACGCTTACGTAAATATAATTCCAAAATCTATCTTATTACCGAACATGTTAAATAAAATAACAATATCTTACAAAGATATACAAGGACTCTACATAGAGCTAACTCTAAACTTTTGGTGTTTTTTCGTAAATATAAAATTATTTATATATTTGCCCTGTTTATTATAATAACGTAAATAGCTTACAGATATTAATGATTTAAAATGTTTGTACTAATAAAATATTTATTCCGAAAAACTCTAATTAATAATAATAATATAATTAATAATCTAAATTTAAAATCGTAGAAAATATTATTTATATAATTAATTTAAACAAAAAAAAACACCTATTATTAGCATTGTAAATAGAAATGTGATTGTTTTTATGACATATAAAAAACACGTTCACGTCTACTTATCGTCGTAAAGGTCAAAGCGCGTCATGCGACTCCCCGAGGTCTGGCCGCGGACGCACCCCGCACCGTAATAGAGCGCCACCCGCCACCCGCTAATTGAGAGCCATGCAAATTAATCATCGCACGAGAATCGGCTCGTGCTCGCTCCGAGACTATTTTGGTGGAGGCGGGGCGCGAGTCCAGGAGCCAGACTAGAGATGGGCGTTATCGTTGCTATAACACATTGATGCAACCAGTTACATTTCTTTCATGAAACTTGTTGCGACAATAGATTTCTTCTGCAACAGGTTTCTAATAGCAATTCATTGTTTAAGAACTATTAGTTATTGCTTGAAGGTAGCTAACTATTTAGTAATAAAATTAAAGCAGAGAAAACTGATAGCTTATTTGTGGGCAGTAAAAATTAACATAACAGTTACAGTATGAAGTACTAAAATTTTTATTTTTATTGTGAACTTGTCGGTTGAAAGTTTTTTTTTATCACTAACAACGCCGTAGAGTAATATAACTGAAAAGGAAGCAAAACTATCAACGTCTAGGCAGCAGTGCTAGCGCATTCAGCAACTTGCGCAACCTATTGTGAATAACTCGCAAAAATGCAAAAATATTTTATTACACAAAACTTGACGTCTTTAGTTGGTGAATTTATTAAGTTTTGTTAAGCTCATGAGTTAAAAATGAAAAGGTGCTTAAATGTATTTAACGTTTTTTTTTCTGAACCAGTGGTGAATATAAAATGATAACGTAGGTCTTGGACGTTACTGAAACAGTCTAACGCGCGATTTGTCGTAACTGGTCGGTTACATTTTTATTTTGGAAGCGACGTATTGCGAGGAAAACGACTCGTGTATAGGCCAGTCGCGCGCCGACCGCCGACGTGTGAGCATCGCGTGTGGGGAGCGCGGATCGTTGCGATGGAGCGATGAGGGCGTGCGGGCGCGCGGCGTTTTGCTGGGCCCTGCTGTGGTTCGCCGGCGGCCTGGCGGCGCCGCGCCGCCTCTACTGCGAGCGCGCCGACGTGGCGTGGCGGGCGTACCGCGCCCCGGCCGCCTTCGAGGCGCGCGTGCAGTCGCTGGCACACGACGCCGCCACCGTGAAAGTGCGCCGCGTGCTCCGCCGCCAGGGCCGCTGGCCCCGCGAGGACTCAATCCTCCGCCTAAAACTGCCCAAGGAAACCCTCGAGTGCGCCGGACGTTTCGAAGTGCCTCTGCAGAATAGAAGGAACTATATCGTGTTCGCGGAACGGCGCGGGCTCACGGCGGTCGCGTTGGGGCCGCCGTTGCGCCGCACCGCCAAGTTGGTTCGCAGGATCCGCGCCGTCTACAAGCCGGGCTACAGTGAGTGTTGTGTTTATAGTAGCTACGGTGCGACCACATGGAAATCGGACCCGCCAAGGTTCAAACACGACTCCAGGGTTTTCGTTCAAACTGCGAAAAATCACAGTCGCGAACAATTTCTATGTGGTTGTACGTTGCATGCTTAGTTTTAAGTTTTGTATTCATCTCTAAAATTTTGTTTACATAAATATTTCTTTCAGCACAGACAATATTTAAAAAAATCAATTCTGACGTAACATAAAAAATACAAAAACAACAGTGGTATAATTGCAATAACTGCATTATATCGTACAAACATTTAAAATAGGGAGAACATAACCTAAGTCGGAACTATAATATTTTAAAGATGCCAATAAATTTAACTGCAAACAAATATGCAGTTGGCAGGTGCAAAGGAGGAACAAGTAGCTATTACAAGTCCATTTTTGGCCCGAGAGTAAATAGTGACCGGCTAGCGTGGTCAGTGTAGCAAAACGTAGTAAGCGTGCTCACGAGCCTCATTTATGTACCCTTATTAACGGTCAGGTGGACAAGGGAGCGATAAGGAAAGCTCACAGATAGTATGATCGCTTTATTAACTTCTTAATTCATAATAAAATTCTCAAATTAAAAACAAACCTTACCGTAATATTAACTCATAAACAGAAAACAATATACAACAATGATAAAATATAATAATATCACCAACAATTAGTATATAGTCTAGTAAATATTGTTATTGATGAGACAACGACAATTAAAACAATGTCGTGAAGAAAAATCGTGCTATTCAAGCTATTTTTCTACATTACTACTGCTGATAGGGGTTTTCCATTGCTGCTGCAATTTGTTTCGCTTATTACAATAGAACGATCAAGAATATGAGTTTTTTTTTATAGGATAGGGTGACAAACGAGCACACAGCCCACCTGATGGTAAGTGGTTGCTGTGGTCTTATCCTCGTTTGCGAATCAAAATGCAGATGCGTTATCACCCTGTGACGGCCAAGATGGAATGCCTCTTTTCCAGTAAAAAGGGTCTCCGGTTCTCTACACTCACCATACCAAACACAGCAGTGTTAAACTGCTATTTTACGCTGGTATTCTGTGAGAGTGCTACAACTACACTACTAATATAGCTGCAGCATGGCTCTACCACGTATAAAATGTTATACGAGTTATGCGTGGTAGAGTCACGCTGCAGCTTTACGAGTATTAACCATAATACACAACCATGTAGCGCGAATAGGTCGGCTCAACCGGGGAAGGACCACGCTCTCACAGAATACAGAATAAAATAGCAACTTAATGCTGCTGTGTTTCGTATGGTGAGTGTAGAGAGAACCGTAAACCTTTTTGTACTGGAAACCAGGCATTCCACCTAAGTCCTTAGGGGTGACAACGTATCTGCATTGTGGTTCTTAATTGAGAACAAATAATTTTTTGATGGCTCCGTGGCGCAGTGATATACATGATACAGGAGAAAATCTATGTGTGGGGGGGGGGTAACGTTTTTATAAAAAAAAATTAGATGTCTATGGGCCACACCATCTTACCATTAAATGGACTGTGTGCTCGTTAGTCGTCTTTATTCTATAAAAAAAATATAGAATTGAAATTAGTTCATAATATTTAAAAAATGAGACAACAATATACACAAACATTGCAATCTATACAATAGATTAGAAACTTTTGAGTCACAGCTCCGGAAATATCCGAGCAAGTGCCAAAAAAACCGATCCGCGAGAGTTCACGTAAGAGATCGTAACGCTACATCTGACAAACGGGCACCGACAGGTCGCAACTGGAGCGTGCAATGACGTCACCTCCATTGAAGTGTCGTCTGTCGCTAGAGACACCGAGGAATTAATTAACTATCATATCCTTAGATGCACTTAACCTAATCTTAATCACAAACGTACGCCATCGACATTCTGACAGTCGAAGACTAACTTTAGATTACTTTAGTTACATTTTTCTCAACAATAAATTATTAATTGGCGAACATTAAAACGAAAATTACATCAATAACAATTGTGTAAGCTACCTTCTTCACACGTGCGTTAAAATATTCACTATAACACTGAGTATTAGAATCATCCCTGTATCACTTGAATTAGAAATTAATAATTAGAATTGGAATACTTTTCCAAAGGGCAAATTAAATGCAACGTTCGCCATTTCAAAACTTTTTTTTCTGTGCTCATTACAAAAACGTCTTCAAAATACACAATGTATGATTCTGCAAATAATCGGTTAAAATCAAGGGAATTAATCTTTAAGTCGAAAAGATACAACAATTTGTTAGCCTATATTGTTTACTGACGATAGTTACATGTAAAAACGAGTACATCTTAAATCACAGGAATGTTTTTTTTTAAAGTACCGATTATCCAAATAAGAGAATACAAACATTGTGTCTATAAATACAGAAAAAATTTTAACCCAAAGCTTAATAGCTAAATCGCCATATGCTAAAAACCAAACTTTATAAGATTCAACGCTCTTATTTTCGTTGATAATTGATTTATTTACTGTTTATTTTTACAAATTTATTGAGGTATTATTTTGTATTTCATTGAACTCACCTTCATTTAACACCGGCTAAATTTAACCATAAAGGTAGTCCTGTACATAGGTTATGATTCCTTTTCATATTAGCTGATTTTACTAATCATTTCTAAAACATCTCTAAATATCCCATATACATTTACAAATCTATTACGGTAAAGCAACGTCATAGGTCAAATGATATTATAGCAATCTAGTTAAGTTCTATAAAATCAATATTTCTAGAAGTTTCCTTGCAAAAGAATGATACCGTCTAATAATTTTTAATTTGATAGCACTTTATCGCGCCCATCGTCGGCGTCTCGTAAATGAGAGAGTGGCGCTTGTAGTCCCGCCTGTTTACTTTCGACGCTTGCTTGTTAGCTAAATGTTTATCCTTCTGGATGCTATCCATCGTTTTTCCTTTGTTAATGTTCGTTTCACTTTCATTATTCGATTGTAAATCTGTCTCGGCTCGATCTACAAACTGTTAATCATAAACCTCGTGTCAAAACTGAACTCTCTACGCACTCTTAACCGGCGTTAGCATTTTTTGCCAATCCATAAATATGTGCTCATAACATTGGCATTCTTCGTGCTATTAATCATCGGGAATATAAATGTTCTAACTCTATTTGATTTCAGAACTGATAAACATCTGATTAATGAACATTAATCTGTTTTACATATTAACACAAATGCTGCATGAAATGATCTCGTCTCTCTGCTGGCGTGTTTTGTAGAAAAAAAAACACAAATTCCGTTTAGCCAGTAGGTAACCTATTTTGCGTTAACGTATTTAAAATAAACAATATACAGTACACCGTGTATACCTTATACCATCTATGATAAATTTACTATTGAAATCGTAATTTATTTATTATAAGCAGATGAATCAAGATTTATGCTCTACTTTATTTCTTTACAGAATTTTATATGATAATAAGATAGTCTTCACAGATACAGTTTTTATTTGTGTGCCTTACGGCTTCTAAATAATTATAGAAAATTTAATCAGCGAGAAATATATAGCATGTAGTGATGGTTTAGGAATATCCAGTACTCCATATAGTCCCGTGATTGTCGTAAGAGGCGAAAGAGGGAAACAAACCAGGAGATGAGCTTTAGAGTATCTAATACAACTACAAAATAAAAAACCCGCGGTTCCTATCCCGCATACCAAGCGTGACAAATATGGCAACTATTGCAAATATCCACCCTATGAGGCAACCTATGGGTGAGGCCTATGTTCAGCAGTGGGATTTTAATAAACTGTAACGGTAATGGAGAAATATATAATAGTCCATTAAATCCTATTCATTAATATTGACGTTTATCGATTTTTTATTTACTGTTTGTTATTCATACAAAATTAACCTTAAAAGTGCATCATTCGCTTAGCATCCTTCAATAATATAATCACATCACAACAGCACACGCGGTCACTTACTCAGTTCGTAGACCTAAGTTTAGCTCTCAGTGACTAAGCGGGTTGTCTCTAGATCGTATATTTAGAAGATATATTACTTCACAGTCTTAGATATTGAGTCAGTCTATTTCTTTTATAATTAAATCGTTTGATGAGATTTATTCCGCTTCCCCGGCGATATATCATAGAATTGTGAATAGTCGTTGTACGGGATTGACCTTCAAATCGACATCACAGAAGACTTCTGTAGTACTCTGCGTATATTATAAAGCTTTTATTTCACGAAAGCGGCCGGCTGCCGTTACGGCTTGGCAGTTCTCCATTATTCCCGCTCCGGTTCGGCGCGTTCAGAGTCCTATTAGAAATATTAACATGCGTCGGTATTATAATATTTTATTATCAGCCGTATTTTTAATCACTTTAGATGTACAGATAACTCAGTCTGTTTGACGAGTTAAAATGTTGAAAAGTTTCTTATTATCTTACTCGTATTAGTACTATTGCGTAATTTAGATTTGAGCGTTATAGAAATTTAGCTAAACAAATATATATCCCCCACCCGATGGTAAGTGGTGATGTAGCCTAAGATAGTTTAGCGCACTGACTTAACAAAAGCCTATTCACTCTTGCCTTGAAGACACCCACACTTTAATCAGATGGAAAGACAGATGCTGGCAACTTATTCCATTCCTATAATGTGTGTATGATTGTAGTATCTATACGTGGTGGAGCCATGCTGCAGCTATATTAGTAGTATAATTGTAACACGAATGGGTTGGCTCAACCGGGGAAGGACCACGTTCTCACAGAATACCAGCGTAAAATAGCAGCTTAACACTGCTGTGTTTCGCATGGTGAGTGTAGAGAACCGGAGACCCTATTTACTGGAAAAGAGGCATTCCATCTTAGTCTTCACGGGTGACAACGCATCTGCATTTTGATTCGCAAAGGAGGATAAATGTAGATGTCTATGGGCCAACGTAACCACTTACCATCAGGCGGACTGTGTGCTCGTTTATCACCCTACCCTATAAAAAATTTTT